ATCTATATATATAACCCATTCATTTCGTGTCCGTCCCGTAACCGTTTCATAACGGACACTAGAGGCGCCCCTATCGTGTGTCATATTTCAAACACCAAATTAAATTAACAATTTTAATTATTATTTAAATTAACAATATAAATTTTTATTATTCATTTGGCCAATAAATTATTATTTGGTCAATATAACAATATAAATAATTCAGTATATTTGTAATAGGAATTTATTATTTCAGGGGCTTATATCTCTCGAAGGGTCGCGAGTAGGGGTATGGTTCCTTTGACTTTATTGTTAGTACAGGGGTCACCACCTCTTCATTCGGAAAATAAATCTTACCATTCGGATTTTAACAGAGCTGTAGAGCATATTGATAGAAACAAAAAAGTCAAAGGAACCGTGCCTCATGGAAATTTGTAAAGAACGCCCACTAGGGGGCGTCCCGTGCTACCAGTTATCATAGAATAAAGTAAATTTAAAGAAAGTACACCTTTTTGCTACCTTTTCTTCATTGGTTTGCAATTCGAAAAAATTGTAGAAAATAAATTCCCACTGTCATCCGTTCCCCTGTATTTTCTTAATAACAAAAACAGAGTTAAATACATGGAATTCGAGACCGGATATGGAAATCTTATTCCCCTTTCACACTGTAATTTTTTATTTGCCTTTAACTTTTTATTTAATCCGATTTAACTACCAACAGCGAACTCGACTTAAATCGCTTTTCCAAACAAACTTAAGTCGATTTGAGGTCTGCCAAAGGATAAAAACATGGCGGAAGCAGATGTACAAATGTTCGATCAAAATTACAAAAAAACGCTCCGAAAATTGGTCCGAATAGGAAATAAATAACCATTTTAATTGATATATGGAGGAAAAAAGCCATGACATAGTTACATCGAGCCAAACGTATTTATATACGAAGAAATGGCGGCAAAAATTGGTTTTGGAAGGCCAACTTTTACAACCAGAACATGGTGTAATATAAAGAAAATTAAACATTTAACCTCCAAATGGATACGGTTAAACTATTAGTATACTATCAAAGTATATTACTTAGAACAGTGGTTCTTAACCGGGGGTACATGTACCCCTAGGGGTACGAGCGTAAATCAAAGGGGTACATCTAACTTTCATTATAAAATGGCGCATGTTAATGAATTTGCTGTAAATTATTAACACAAGAAATGACAAAAACTTGTTTTAAAATATCCCAGTATGAA